GTATTTTTGTGAATGTGTGTGATGATGTTTTATCCATTCACCAGAAGGTATACACAAATAAGAATCTTTCATTCTTACTTTGAGCTATAAGTTTGCATTTAGGGAAGGTAAATGTCTAACAGGAAGAACTGTTTATCCAGGTATACTTCATTGCTTCAGAATCCTGATTTCCCCCTAATTGTATACCTATTTCCATTGCATAAATTTTCCTATGTACCTGAAGGAGGGGAAGAGGCAGGTTAGGGCTAGTATTCCTGACTCTCTTGGAGGAAGTAATGGCAGTGGTTTTACCTACTTTCCTGCTTCTATTCCAAACACTTTCATTATTTGACTCTCTTGCCCATTACGGTAACTCTCCATTGACACAAATATCCTTTATTACCATATTCTCCATGTAAGCTGCCCTCCAATTTGTAACAAACATACTTCCAGCCAATGTGTTTGTTGGAAGACTTTAACTCTTTTTAATTAACACCAGAAAGCCACCAGTTATATACACTTCTGCTCCTAATTTGTTAAATGTGCTTTACTTCATGGTGCCGGATTCCATCTTAATTCCCCAAATAATGTACATTCTTGCTCAGAGAAGAGGCAGATGGAAATTTGGACATGGGATGAGAGTTGTTTTGAGAATTACCCCTACCAGGTTCTAATAGAGCGCTTTTGGATTGTTTACATTAATAAGGATTTAGCTGATTTTTAAAAAGTCCTCTTTTGCAAGGTTCTGTCTTTACAGAACTTTAGTTTTATATACCATATTTTTTGGAGTATAAGATGCACCGGAGTATAAGACGCACCAAAGTTTTGAAGAGGCAAATAATTAAAAAAAAGGTTTTTGCACTCTGCAAACCTCCTGAAAACGGGCCCATTTTTTTCAAAAAAAGGGGCATGAATATCCCTTAGGAAGCTTATAGAGTGCTCCTGGGGGCTGGGGAGGCAGAAATGAGCAAAAAATGCACCGTTTTTTGCTCAATTCTGCCCTCCCCAGTAATACTCTGAAAGCCTCCTAAAGGCTCTGCATGGCCATTTTTGCAAAGAGGGCGGGGTTTCAGGAGGCAAAAAATGCTGTATTCAACGTATAAGACACATCCAGATTTTCAGCCTCTTTTTTGAGGGAAAAAGGTACATCTTATACAAAAAATACAGTAATTCTGATCCAATTTTTATGTTTGCGTGTTCTTATTCCTTATACCATTTTCAGCATTGAAATTCTAATCCTGGAAAAATGGTCCAAGCTACATACAGTTTTTCATGATCAGAGACATCCCCCCCCCCCCATAGGTTTATTTCTGGATTGGTAAAGATGCAAATGAGGCTGAGAAAGAAGCAGCAGCTGTCACTGCCCAAGAATACCTGAAGACTCACCCAGGCAGTCGGGACCCTGACACTCCAATTGTGATTGTGAAACAAGGCAATGAACCTCCAACATTCACTGGCTGGTTTGTAGCATGGGATCCTCTCAAATGGACAGTAAGTGACAAAAAGTTCTTCTTCCCACTTGGGAAGCCTGTACTGTATGCGAAAAGTGACCTATTCCTTTACTAAGGTAGTCTGGAGACAAAAGGGCAGAAATCATGTGTGTGTGCGTGTGTGTGTGTTTTGTGGTGGCTCAGTGGCTAAGATGCTGAGCTTATCGATCAGAATGGTTGGCAGTTCAGCGGTTCAAATCCCTACCGCCGCATAATGGAGTGAGCTCTCATTACTGTCCCAGCTTCTGCCAACCTAGTAGTTCGAAAGCATGTAAAAATCCAAGTAGAAAAATAGGGACCACCTTGGTGGAAAGGTAATGGTGCACCTTCAACATTAATCATGCCGGCCACATGATCACAAAGACGTCTTTGGACAGCTCTGGCTCTTCAGCTTTGAAACGGAGATGAGCACTGCACCCTAGAGTCAGGAACAACTAGTACATATGGGCAAGAAGAATATATATACACACACACACACACACACACACGAGAGACAGGGGGAGAGAGAGGGAGGGAGGGAGGGAGAGAGATTTATATACGGAAGAACCTTCATTTTCATGAAAGGAATGCCAGCTAGGGGAAAGTCTTTAAGGTATTTTCATTGCCTAAGCTTTCAGCTATAAATTAAAAAACAAAATTCTGCCTGTCTTCCTGCAGGGCAAGAAAACCTATGAAGAACTGAAAGCTGAACTTGCCAATGATGATAGCCTTGACCAACTCACTTCTGTAAGTATGGCTGATAAGGCAAGCAGTAACGCAGAGTGTTAATAGCAAGATACTGTACTGCTTTCCACTGTGAAAGGAATAAGAAATCCTCTTTCAAATTATTTCAGTACCTTAAAGAAGTGAAGCCTGCATTTATTTACTCCTGAAATACAATATCTTTCAGTTGAGGAGAAAAAGGAATAAAGTGAAGGAATATGAACCAAGTCAAGCAAAAACATTTGGAGCTTAGTTTACAACCAGATCTTCACATTTGGAACTCACAGTATACAATGAACAAGGAATGTTGGACTATTTTAAAAATTAACATTAGGCATAAACTTTAATGAACTCTCCGTAGGGAGTGTCTCAAATCATCCAGGTGATGGTTGTCCCAAAGGTGCTTTTTCAAAAGGCAACTCAACTGGATTTTGTTTTTCCTTGAAGACGTTTCGCTTTTCATCCAAGAAGCTTCTTCAGTTCTGACAGTCTTCTTGGATTAGAAGCAAAACATTTTCAAGGAGAAACAAGAAAAAGCACCTTTGGGGCTCCTAAGAGCACATTATTCTACCTGGGCATCAAATGTTATTACATTCATGTATTTGCTGGTGTGCATATGCCAATTTGGAGGAACAGTGCAAAGGTAGCAGGGAAGTCAGTGAAATGGAAGAAAATATAGAAATTACAATTCTGACAATTGTATATTAAATGCATACAAATTTCCCATTATCATCACCATTCAAGCAATACTGATGACACCATAAACATTCAGATTTATTCTTAAACCTAAAATAGTTTTTCATGAACATTGATGGTCCTCATTTAGTGACAATTCAAACCGGCATGTTGGTTGCTAAATGAAGTGGTCACTAAGTGAAACTGCAACTGTGCTTATAATCTTACTTCCACTTTGCTTCACTTTACAGACCTGAGGTGGTCATCATAAGCATGGGAACTGGTCATAGTTACTTTTTCATCACCATCATAATTGCAGTCACTAAAAAGGCAGTTACTAAATAAGGAAACTTGTAAAGGAAATTGAAAACAAGATTCAGGCACAGAATAATTATAATTTGTTAAGGAGTCCATGGCCTAGGGCCCTAGGCATTGATAATCTACCCAAAAGCTTTGAAAGGTCACAGCAATGATTTTTTTTCATTCACTTGTAATGCAGCAGGGCCTTTGAATTCATGTATTTCACCTTCTTGATCTCACTATTTACACATAGTGAGTGACTCCATGATGCTGCCATTCTTTAGCACAAAACTGCCTTTTTAGGCTGCGTCAAACACCATTTGTTTTTAAAATGACACTCTAAATGACTCTCAAAGTTCCTCAACCACAGCATATTCATTGGTCATTTGCACCGCAGGGTCCCTTTTCAAATACACAACTCCTCCTATCTACAATTTCAAAGAGAATCAATTTAGAAAAAGCCCAGCCTGTAACTCCTTTTTATCAAATTTAAACAAGGACAAAATGGACATGGGAATAGCTTTGAGGGCTTCCCCTTTTTCTATTTCAGGAAATCTTGGAAGGAAAAGAAGTTTTTACTGCCAAGACAACTTTTGGCAAGTTGTCATTCTCTACATACCCCTTGGAGAAATTGGTGAATGTAGCTGGAGAAGACCTTCCCAAGGACATAGATCCCAGCCGGAAGGAGGTGAGATCAGAGGGCTATAGTCAGAATTTCCATGGGGACAGTGAGGGTATTTCAAGAGTTGATATTTGCTGAAAATCCAGGATAAAAAACAGCTGCTCACTACAAAGTTTATTAAATGTCTTGGGAACTTTCTTTACTCTGGTATGAAGATAAAGCACTATTCTAATCTCCTTCTAAAATGTTTAGCTTTAACATTTTAATTCGAACATTTTAGTTTTCATAGACAGGAAGTCTTCGATTTATGACAATTGAGCCCAAAACCTCTTTTGCTAAGTGAGACAATTAAGAGAATTTGGTTCCATTTTACGACCTTTCGTGTCACAGTTGTTAAGTGAATCTTGCTTCCCCATTGACTTTGCTTGTCAGGAGGTCGCAAAGGGTAATCACATGACCCTGGGACACTGCAACAGTCATAAATATGAATCATCTGCCAAGCATTCAAATTTTGATAACATGACCACGGGGATGCTGCAATGGTCATAAGTGTGAAAAATACTCATAAGTCACTTTTTTCAATGTCATCATCTTTGAATGGTCACTAAATGAACTATTGTAAGTCAAGGATAACCTGTACTTTTTAAATAAATGTTGACATTTTATTGTACATCGTGCAGAGTCCGTCTTTGAGATAGGCGGTTCAAAATAGTAAAAAATAAATATGACTAAAACATAAATGAAACAAAAAAGAATACAAGCCAACTGAAAATATTCTCACTCTAGTTTGGTGTACGTGTAAACATTTTATCTTTGCAGTGATTTTAATAATGCCTGGAAAAACAAATTTGGTAAGTCCAGCTTACAAAGAATTATGCAAAACCATACCAGAATAGAAATGTTGCTTCCATTGTGACTTGGGGGACGGACGGACATCCCTATATTTAATAATCTACTTCATTTACTTCTCGCTGTTTATAAGTCTAGCTGTCATTTATCACATACGTGCTTTTCTTCCATTCCACAGCAATACTTGTCAGAGGAAGATTTTTTTCAGATCTTCGGAATGTCCCAACAGGATTTTGCTGCACTGCCTCTGTGGAAACAAACGTCTCTCAAGAAGGCAAAAGGACTTTTCTAAATGGAAATTTGCCTGCCATTATTTTCCAGCCATTTGCAGACCTTAATGTCATTTTTGGTAACAACTCGGTAACAGAAGCATTCAGAATTTTCTACCACTAGCAGTTTTGCAAAGACAAAAGGGTTTCTTTAAAAAAAAAATGTAGATGATTTTAGTGCAGATCCAGAACAGCTGCTTTAACATACTTTCCTCCAGTTATGAAGCTGCCCAAAACTATGTTGAAATTGTTTACTCTTTCCCAATACCCAAGTTCCAATTTGACTTAGTGACAAAGCTGGCAAATGGGGCTGCCCTAACAACACTATTGTGGAACAGATGCAGGAAAGTAATTGGTGGATTTCCTGCTAGTGGAAGGCAAAAAAAAAAAAACAACCCCCACCATTTTTCTTAAAAGGAGGTTGGGCTGGTTTTTGAATGAGACCCATACATTTTGCTATCTAGCAGAACCTGACTTTTTGGGTGACAATTTTCCAACTCCCCTCTTTTTATAGGGAACCTCTATTTGCACCATAGGACAGGTGTGCCAACCCTCCACCCACCCATGATTGCTCTTGTTCATCTCCCTTTTGCCCATGCTCTCTTGCTCACTCAGTCTCTCCACTGTGTCTCTTTCTCACACTCCAGTGACTCTCAATTATTTTGTCTAATCTGGGGAAACTCCCTGGGTGAACCAGTGCTACTTTTCTGATGAACTGCCCTTGAAAGATTTTCCTGCTTAGAATTAAAAAAAAAACATTTTGGACAAAAATCTTTCAAGCAAAGACATTGCAATCTTGCAACCTGGCCAGAAATGACTTAAAAGCAGCTAATTTATACTGCTTAAAAACACAGCTTTGCCAATAGAAGTAAATATAAGAGCTCTAGGATTATTGTCTCTCCAAGCTTGCCTTAATCTGTTTTTATCTATGATCCTAGCTGTCTACATGATTATAGTTAAGAGTTTTCAATTGCCAATGAATATGCCTCCAAAATAGGCTTTGAGGTGACCCATAAAGCAGAAGGCATTCCAGATGGAACCACTGTTCTCTTATGAAATGTATCCCAGTACAAATAAAACTTATTCCTGCAAAATGAGGAGTTATCCTTGTTTGTAAACAGCAAGTTATCACATTATTACGTCAATTCACTGCTAATGGACATTTTTTTTCCATAATAAAGTTTAGCATCTTTTTAAATATACAGTGATATCTTCTCCAACATGGTTATGCACTTTTAAAACAAACAAGAACAAATTTTAAATTAATAAAAAATGTGGAATATCTAAGCAAAATCAATGTGAAAAAATACCATGATTTTTGTAGTGCCAATTTTGTGGAAGAAAAACAGTAATCAAATAGCAGCAAGGACAATAGAAAAGTAGCAAGGCACTGCATTGCTCTGGAAAGAAAAATCAGATTCGGCATTCATAAAGAGCGTTTAATTTCTCAGAAATTGATCTACACATTATTTAAAAAGAAAGAATAAAAGCAGAATTGTGAGGAATAGAAGAACAGGTCTGCTAAAACACAGAAAACTGCTGCTCCACATTATGTCAAGGGATACAAAGCGATTCCCAACATATAATTATCAAAGCAATCTTCTCAATGCAGCTGCTAGGGTACCCTTGTCATTTTTATTTATTCCCTTCCACCAAGATTTTACAAAGTAACTTCTTAAAGTAAAAGCAAAGGAGTAGGTTACTGCTGCAGGTCAACAGCAAAGTGTTATGGATTTTCTTTGATTTCCATTCATGGGCTATTAATTTTCTATTTCGGGTTTTAAAAAGCACCCAACTATTCTTTTTCAGAAACACATGGCAATCTTATTCCCAGAATAATTCACTTCATGGTGAAATATTAATTTATGCAATTTTAAAACAATTACTCTGCCTTTTACTTAGTTGCAATGCGAGCAGCTTTCTCTTAGCACATCTAGCAACAGAGACCCATAATATACAGCGCCATTCTTGAATGCTGTCAGGTCCTCGGGAAGTGAAAAGGCAGTTCAGAATAGAGAAATGTCCCTGAAACCTTTGTACCTTGTCACAGATATGAATATTAGGCTTCATCCAAATAGCAGCAATGCTGCTTAATATTCTATAATTGCAGACTTGCATTTCCTTAGAACGGTAGAGGCATAAATGCTTGGTGATTCTAAAGTTTTTTTTTTAAGTAAACTACCAGAGCTACCTTTTAAATTCACGTATATACACGTTTCATTTTACTTTTCAGAAGAATTTAGTTACTTAGTGCAAACATGTTATGGCTATTTCTCGTATAAAAAATAAGTGCAGAAAAAGGTTTGACAGATATAAGAAGGAAGAGAGGAATTTAAAATATGCTGAAGTTCATCCACTACTGGATGAATTTATGGTTAAAGCTAGGCCTCACTTCAAAATCTAAAATCAGTAATCCTAGAATTAAGATATCTAGAGGTGTGCCATATCATGCTGTTCCAGAAATATAGTATAACTAAATCCAATTCCTTTTTTAAACAAGAATTTTTTAAAAAATACCAGCAGTTGCAGTTCAGGTTCCCCAGAGATTTTCTAGGGTCCTTGGTATAATTTCTCAAAAGGAAATATGATAAACCATTTAATGAGGGTTTAAATATAATCCAGTATGGTCAGGAGTTTCAGAATTAAATGTTAAAACATATAAGAAAAATAGATGAACTGCAGCACAAATTCATTGCATTGCCACAGAATTTGATCTTTGTAAAATGCAATCCAGGCAGGATTAACAGTCACCACTTCTTACTGAATGAGAAATTGTTTTCTACCAAAGGTACATGAATTTATCTCAGGCTACATACTTTTCAAGTTTAGATGAAGCAAATCAGTCTTTACACACTAGGGGCAATTCTGCATTGTATTATAGAAGACACCAAGTTCGAAACTGAATATATATTAGTTAATTTGGCTTCACTGTTAAGTATGGAACCAAAAACATAACTGCATAATTACAATGGGTTGTATAAGACCCTTCCATTCAGAGCAGGAAATGAAAGCTAACACCACCTCCTGCCAGAAGGGAGAATGGGAGATGTAATTTTATTTGAATTTCTTTTTTTCCCGAACTTGAGTTTGCCACCTCCCCTTATATTTAAAGGCCTCTACTCTCCAGAGCCCCTTCTCAAGAGACCACAACAAGCACTGGAGAAAAATGCTCCCCCTCCTATTCCACTCATAAGGAAATCTAAGATGTATCTGGAGTTGGATGGGGGGCAGAGAAGGAACCAATTATTCAGTAACATTCACTTGAATGGAAGTTCAGCTATCAGTGCAATACAAATCCTGCTTTTTCCTGAATTGTATTGATAACTGCTCAAGCAAATAGAAATCCAGATTCTGTCAAACATCTGAAGGTTTTTTTTTCATTAACAGACAGCTAGCCTTACTCTAGAATCAAGACTATCACATTCTGAGATACTCTTCTTTACAAAGAAAATCCCTTTATTCTTTGTTAAAAACACACCAAAATACCTTTGTGAACAGTACAAAATTACGACAGAAGTTAGCATATTATGCTTTGGTGCAGTGTAGTTTTTGAGAACTTTGTCTTCTACATCAGATAGTATTTTACTCTGTTGGTATCTTCTATTTATGTATTTAGAGTTCTCCAATACTGGCTGCAATTATCAATAATCTTAAAACCTTTCAGCAACAAATAATTCTATTGTCTATGTCACTCGTGTCTACTCTCAAAATGTAGTTTCAGAAGGTTCTAATAGTAAAGAACATAAAAATCCCCAACAAGTAGGGGTAAAATACATTTTTCCATGTAGCTGCTATCTCTTTCAAAGAAAATATTTTTACTATGAAGCAAATCAAGAAACATCTCAATTATTAGCAATTTCATTGCTATGAAAGTGGAAATGGTATAACAGTTATTAACTTCTAGCACTAAAATGAGGGTCGAGCACCTATATAATTTTTGCCAATATAAGCAAGTTATTCAAACACTTTTAAGTGTCAACTCCTCTATTGATGCTCTGAATTTTTTTTGCAAATGCTGATAATTTAAGAGTTTTGTTTTTTTTCCAACCGCACAAGAAGAAACTGTTATATTTCCATGTTCCTTTCGCCATATTCCTTGCCCACTTTCAAGCACAATACAGCTCTGGAAGCCAGTGCAGAGTTGAACTATTTCTGTTTCATTTACTGATTAGCATCGGAAAGGGATTGACGATCACCACCCAACCAGCACAGCTGTTCCATGAAACACAAGAAATATATATATATATACACACAAACCCATGCACACTCAAGGGGAGAGGGAACTGTTCTGCAAATGACAGTATTTGGAAACTAATGCCTTCAAAAAGAATAAAAACTTTAAAAAGTTAAAATATACATAAATGTATATATTATTTGAAATGATGAAAATGAAGGATTCTGGAGTGTTACAAATCATAGGTGTTTAAGTCCATTTGAAGACGAATCCTTCCATTTAACCAATCAGCCACCTGCACTTTTCAGGGCATAGTATAATTGTAGTATAGCTTATGCTTTTTTCTCACCTTTTCTTCCATAGAAAGAAAGTCAACCTATGTGTAAGATCTTCTCCATTTGTTAATAATAGGTGATCTTTTGGTCTTCTCTCATACTATGCTTTTATAAGTTTTGGAAGAAGTTTTTAAATTCTCTAGCTTGATCGTCTCCGCTGCAGGTAAAATTATTTGAGTAGCTCAACAGAGAACAAAACCAAAACCAAAACAATTAAAAAAAACATCTGGATAACAGAAGATTGACTGCTGAAGTTCAAAGAAAGGGATGGAATGGCCCTTTCATATCTGAAGCAGCTTGTCTCTCAACTATGCCCCGAGTTCCTCAGGTTTGTCTCCTGTGCATTAGGCAAAAGTTCTTAACTCTTTGTGCTCAGGTAAAGGGTCATTCTTCAGACTGGCTTCCCCACTTCCGTGCCAGGCAGTTGCAGGCTCTTTTCTGTTTCAAGCAATTCATCCAATATATCCCTAGAGAACAGAACACATTAGAAACCAAAGAAAATCTACATAGAGCAGCCAAGGCATATGATGTACCCAAGATGGCACTTAAAAGGAATGTTTTAAAAGAAGTAATAGAGATTCTACACAGTACAGTATAATCCAGCTTCTTACACAGAGATGTTCATAAGGACATTTGAATGCAGGTTTGTTTTCTGAATTAAAAACTTTAAAACCCTTTGTTTATCTCTTTCTCTGTTACACACCCAAACTTTTTATCTCATGACTCAAGATCTAGCTGATCAGGCTTGGTATGAATTCTTAAAGAATCAATGCCAAAACCCATGACTGCAATATCCCATTTTGTGTAATGGCTCCAAATTACTGGAGCTACCTTCCACTTTTATAACTTCTGCCAACGCTGGACTAATTCCAGTTGGAGACTCTTATCGAGCCTGGTACCTCTCCAGTCCCTAAAAAGTTCACATAGAACCCATCTCTTGTTTTAAGAACTATTTCTTGTTAAGTGGTCTTCATTCTGGTATTTTTCCACAAGATGCACGAGCTGGAAATCTAAATAAAACAATTCTACAATGTAGGTTTCAGAAATATCTTCTTTTACCTTGTCTATTCAGTTCTTTACACAAATATATGGTAGAAGGCTATGTTAACACAATATTCTCCCTGCGACAGTTGTAAAATCCCTACAATTTTCATACTGAAAAACCATGCAAGAGCTAGGAAATGAGGGAGCTGGGTTGGGGTGGGGTGGGGTGAGAAGAGAAGAGTATTTTTCATCTTTTCACAAGGATGGAAATGAAATAGAACATGCAAGCAGTAAATAATATAAATAATATTTACTTGTGCATATAGAAGAAGATATAGCCACTTCGGTCTCTATCACTCTGGACAGAGGCCTCTTGAGTTCTTGATACTGCCAGGTCATTGTATGTGAACCATGCCTGCTTGCGAATGTCATATACATCACTAATATAGTGACCTTAAAAAGAATGAAACAGACAAAAATAATTATTTTGTTATTCATTCAATTCATGTGCTGTCCATTTCAATAAGTGAGTTTGAGAGGCAAACTGTTTCAAAGTATTTTTTTAATAAATTCCTGTTACAAATATAAAAAATTTAAACACACAATAGCTGAGGAAGATATCACAATTGACAGTCACTAGTACAGCAAAGGGTGGGGCCTTCACATACTTGGGGCTCCAAGTCCTGAGGGTCTTACAAAAAACCAGCCAACCTAATGGCTACAGGGAGAATTTTCCATAGGGCAGGTGTTACAGCAGAGAAGGCAGGCCTCTTTTACCATTTGGGCTTCTGATGTATTTCACGCAGAAATATACAGGCCGAAGTATCTAATAAATAACATCTTCTGCAGACAAATTTGCTTTTATTATTTTAAATGTGACTCATTTTTACTGCGCTTCAACATCTTTTTATGTGCCAGATTTATTGATGAATAAATAACAAATTGTTTAATCCCCTCCCCCTTTGTAAAACATGTATGGAAACTGTTTTAATCATAATATCAGCATTTGTTAATTGTTGGTTATTTTTATATTAGTTTTATAGTTTTTATTTTAGTTGCCCAGAGTCATGTTTTGTGAGATAGGGAGCCCTATAAATATGATGGCTGGACAGACAGATAGATGGATGGATGGATTAAAATCAAGCATACAAAATTAACTACTTTTATTGCATTTCTTTCTTCATCTTCAATTCTGGTTACCTGAAAAGGCCTCCAAAACACAACTTAGAAAAACAACAAGAATGATAAAAAACCACAGCCTTTTTCTTACCTGAAGAGGAGGTATCTCCAATGTGACTTACAATACTAATTAGACGATATGAATTAGGAAGCTCTCCTGTCTGTGAAAGAATTCTCCTATTAGTTTGGTTTGCTTCTGAATATATCAGACATTTAACATTATAAAAGACTTTATAGCATACTTAGGACACACTGTATCAAACACTAGAATAATTCATTTCAAATTTGTAGTTAACTCAAATCAGGCTTTATAAAAAATGTGTTTAAAAAAAATCAGTTAAATACAGGTAGTCCTTGATTTGCAATAGTTCATTTAGTGACCGTTCAAAATTACAACAGCACTGAAAAAAATGATGTGACTGTTTTTCACACTTATGACCGTTTAGCATCCCCATAGTCACGTTAACAAAATTCAGACTTCATATTTATGACAGTTGCTGTATCCTGGGGTCATGTGATCACCTTTAGCCACCTTCTGACAAGCAAAGCCAATTTGTAAGGTAGATTCACTTAACAACTGTGTTACTAATTTAACAAATGCAATGATTCACTTAACAGTGGCAAGAAAAGTTGTAAAATGGGTCAAAACTCACTTAACAAATGTTTCACTTAGCAATAAAAATTTTGTTCCAGGTTGCAGGGATCACTGCTGCCACCTATCAATGCCTCTGCGTGCCCTGTTTTCGGCCTCCAGGTGCCTATCCCCTCCTGGAACGGGGCAAAAATGGGACACGCAGAGGCTGAAAATGGAACGTGTGGCGGTGTAGCTGGAACAGCTAATAAGTGGTATTCCAGAAGGCAGATCCAACCGCCAATCAGCTGCTCGTGCTAAATCAGGCTGGGCTAAAGCTGACCAGGCTGTTTGCTGCAAGGAGGCAAACTGCTCGGAGGCAGAGGCGGAAGGGTAGGGGCCAGTGGGTGGGCGGGGCTTTGATAACATTCACTCTATAAGACACAGACATTTCCACCCACTTTTGGGGGGGGGGGAGTGCATCTTATACACTGAAAAACCCGGTAAATTATTTTTAGTCTACTCTAAAGTAAGGGTTTGAAACTGCATCTCCAAGGGCCGATATTATCAACAATTCACTGTTGCTCATTGTTGGTCATCGTTGAGAAAGCTTAATAAAGATGACCAAGGGTGCCATATTATGCAGACTGAACTAACCAAGCCATGAAACCTTGCTTAAGCATTTACCACCGGTTAAACATGCTAGTGTTCTTCCCCTGGTTTCCCAGATCATCACCTCAGCATTTCTTTTCAGTTCCTCAGCTTCCGCTTCAGAGTACTCCATGTCTAGAAAATCTTCATTCCCAGAGTCATCATCAGAGCCAAGACTATCCAGGAGGGAACTGTTAAATTCTAAACAGCATGAAAAGGATACTGCATAAGATTCCTGATGTTGTGCATAAAACAGAGATGATGAAACTTTACATTCCACTGCATGATACACTATCTCACTAAAAAGGCAAAATAGTTAGCCTCTCTTTATTAAAGGAAATAATCTACTATATTAAATCTTCAGAGCCACAGCAAGCATTAAATATACAATAGGTACAAAGATTTTTAGAATGCAAACAGATCAGTTTATAAAGGGAAAAACTTTATTTTCAAAAATGCAGTTTTTACATGTTTTGCACTAACTTAAAAAGTAAGATGATGCCAAGGAAACACATAAACTGATTTGCATCAATGAAAAAAAAACATGATATATTGCAATGAGAAAGAAAAATTATACTAAACTCTTATATAACACCTTAACGTAAAAGAGTTTCAGTGAACTATCATAGCAAAATGCATAAAATATTTTGAAAAAATTACTGCTCATCTCCCACTGCTATATAAACTAGCCCTACTTTGGAACCATGGCTGAACTAAAATACATAACTCTTGCTAGTTTTTTTATAACTTGCTGTGCAGAACGTCAAACCTGAGAAGAATAACAGGAAATTAAATCTACAGTTCATAGAACCAATAAACCTTTCAGCATAAACCTCTCATTCTCATTGTTCACAAATTTGGAATCCGGGGCAGACTTGCTTGCTTTTATCTCACTTGGGATTTATGAAATAGAGTTGAGCATGCTAAGATATAGTCAAATTGTGGTTAGAGAAATAAAACAGATTGGAGAAGAAGCCACTGAAAATTGCTGAGACTCTATATTCTGCTTGTTTACAGGGTTGTAGCAGCATATCTACTTCATACCAATGGCTAAAATGTTAACTATTTTTGTTTGTAGTTTCCCTATACAACATTTGATGCCAATCAGTACTTTTTCATATTCAATTTTATGTGGATTTTTGGCATATATTACATATCATTGAAGCTGTATGTACCATTAGCTTCAGAAAAGAGACCAATTTAATATTTTAAAATAAAAATGGTGACATAGAGATTTACTGAAATTAGAAAATTACATTCTGGGAATATTTGGGGGTTCTGGGTAGCCACCTATGCCTACTTTTCAAGCCGAGAGGAATGGCTACATGCTGTGTACTCAATGCCGACCATTAGAGTTTATTTGAATTGCAAAAAGAAATTTCACCCTTACTTGAACAATTAAATTATGCTTTTAAAAGATGTCCATTTTTCTGTTGTGTATCTCACCTTGTAGACTTAATTCAGTGGCACGTTTAAGATCATCATCCTCTTTCTGCTCCCGCGCCTCCTGCTGGGGTAGAGATTCAAGCTTAGTTCTCTGAGACACTTCTTATTTTTATAATTGCTATATTTTTCCCACCAATACAGCACGAGGTTAGTATGCAACACAGCAAGTCCCTAATCTCACCACATGCTATCAGCAAGAATGTGAACTACTTCCCGACAAAGTCCAAGAACATTTTTTTTCCTCTATGTAGCTAAATGCATGGTGTATTCAATTCTAGCTGGGTAGACCATACATTCCTGAATAAACAGTATAGGAGAAATTGCCTTAATTTAAGGGGAAAACCCTAGAATATCAAAGGCTTGCAGATACATGGCTTTTGTAGGTTTAGATGCCTTTCATCTCACTGCTAAACAACAAATGGACGAACATATTTGAAAATTTTTCTTCTTTCTTAACCTATTCACATATGCTTCCATGTCCATTTTGTTTCTTTATGCATTAGTAAATATTTATAAAAGTATATTTAAGAAACTAGTATTGAAATGAAGGATATCTCAGAAGGGCTGTACTCTGCTGTTGTTGTTTTTTTACCATACTTACAGACAGCTCCTCAGGGTGCAAATGGGGCCTTCCAAGCTATGCAAAGGTGCCTGAAGAGACACCTTTCACATATTCCCATCTTTCTTTCCAATAAAAAAGTGAGGCTGTTATGTGAGTCATTGCATGATGATACCCAATTTTATTTACCTTTTTCCTGTGGTCGTTAAACCAATCTGACCTCTCCCATTGACTCCCCCCCCCCGTCAGAAGCTGATTGGAAAGGCTGCAAGTGGCAATCAAATGACCCCAGTGTCATGTGATTGCCACAATTATAAGTGCTGTAATTACATGCCACGTGCTGACGATTAAGTTGCATGGTGTTTCCCACCCATCAAATCTACTTTCTTACAGCCTCTAGGCACCAGGTTAGAACTCTGATTGCATTGTCTGCTCAACCTGGGAATAAATGATAAACATTGGCATCATTATCATATAGATCCATGATGGCGAACCTATGGCACATGGAGCCATACTTGGCGGCACGCCAATTGTCAGCTCTGGCCGTTTTCACCCTCTCCAGGCTTCATGAAAGCCTCCGGAGGCTGGGGAGAATGAAAAACGGCCCCAACGGGCCAAACAGAAGTTTGGGAACTTCCAGTTGGCCCATTGGAGCTGTATTTCACCCTTCCCAGCCTCCGGACGCTTTCCTAAAGCCTGTGGATGGTGAGAACAGCTCCCGTGGCCCCCCAGAAGCCGGAAATGGATCATTTTAGAACTTCCAGTTGGCCCATTGGAGCTGTATTTCACCCTTCCCAGCCTCCGGACGCTTTCCTAAAGCCTGTGGATGGTGAGAACAGCTCCCGTGGCCCCCCAGAAGCCGGAAATGGATCATTTTAGAACTTCCAGTTGGCCCATTGGGGGAGTTTTTCATCCTCCCCAGGCTTCAGGAAATCCTCCAGAGCCTGGGGAAAGGTCACTCACACATGTGCGGACGGGGGGCTTGTGCGCATGCACATGTGGGCAGAGATTGAGTGGGTACATGTGTGCGATAGCGTGCAATTTTGGCACGTCGTAAGAAAAACGTTTGCCATCACTGATATAGATTGTACTTAAATCAAAACAGATCTATGATCCACCTTACCTATTTCAGACAGAGGCTGAATAAAATGAGAGACAGGGCTTATTAATATTTGTGGATTGTGATTAAATTGCTTTTATTTATATTTTGGGAGTTTTGTGCAGGTTTCAAGGGTCTTTGAGACTTAGGTTAACAAAAATCTCATCCAAGGAGCAGGATTATAGTAAAATGAAAAATAGTTTCATTATGGATATCATGTCAAAAGAGACAACAAAAGCAAAACTTTCCCAAAACTATTTTTCTTAACTCTGGAATTGGTTTTTTCCAAGATATACTTTAGGAGAAAGGAGATTCCAACATGGGATGGATAACTTTAATAATTTAAATATGGATTCTTGAATACTAAACTAATAAACGAGGAGAAACCATGGAATCAAAATAGATTACTATAAGTTATATTTTTAACTACACAAAGAGCACAGAAAGAAAACCTATGATCTCTTTCTTCCTGGCAATAAAAAATATTTTTATCAAAAATATGAGAAAATATGAGAAAGGCCATTAGGGAATTTATTAGAAGTAATAATGTTTGAAAGACCATGAGAAAATAAAATAGCTGGAAACAAAATGTAAGAACCGTGGTGGCACAGTGGTTAGAATGCAGTATTGCAGGCTAATTCTGCTGACTATCAGCAGTTCAGCAGTTAGAGTCTCACTGGCTCAAGGTTTACTCAGCCTTCCATCCTTCTGAGATCAGTAAAATGAGGACCCAGATTGTTGGGGGCAATAGGCTGATTCTCTAAATCACTTAGAGGGGGCTGTAAAGCAATGTGAAGTGGTATTTAGGTGCTATTGCTATATAAGAAAAATATTACAGAAGAGCATCTCTGATGTACAATGACCTCAGTAGACTTCCAAATCCAAATTTGCTAAAATTGATGTTTTTAAAAAATGCACAAAATTCAGTAAAACATATCTTTGCTAAATAATTTCTATAAAAACCTTGTTCATAAAAATAGGTTTCTAAGTTTGCAATTATGAAACAAAATCATGCAGTGCCATATTATAAAAGTGAGGTTACAAAGAATTCTCTCCCTAGAAATAGTGAGACAGTCACGTATCATCACGAAAGGTGCACTGGTTCTTACTTGTTCTTGGAGACTCTGAGCCAAAGCTTGCTGTAGTTCTTGTTCCTCCCTTTCCCTTTCCATATCATACTGTTGCAGCCAATCAACGTCCCCCTGAGTGCCTTCTGGAGTTTTGTTTTCTTTATTTTCATCAAAATCTTTAGTTACCTTGGTCAAGTTGGCATAACCTATGGAAACAAAATGGTGTCTTAATTTTTTTTTGCAGGAGTTTGCGGGGAGGGGGGGGCTGCTATCTGAATTGCAGCTGGGTAACTTAAGGATGGATAACCCTTTAATGACCGCTGCATTTAATAGAGATGTGTGTGAGGGTGGCCACAGAAGCCTATCACACAGGTGAACAAGAAGCTGGACTAGGTTTTGTATGCACATTTATGTTCTCATATTAATGCTTATATCATCATTACCTCATAAAAAGAGAAAACTATGCTGGCAATTTTCAGCAGAAAAAGAAAGAAATTGAGAACTTACTGCAGCCCCAGGACAACAGACTGCCATATTCCTGGGATAAATCTTTTTCATACTATTCAGATCTCAAGAGCAAAATGAGCATTTTAGTCAGTGATCATTTTGGGGAAAAAGGATAAGGGGAGAAAGGAAAGAATTGCTTTCAGTACTTATTTACTGTTTTCCGATTAAGACATTTGTGTAATTGAAGCATTGAAATACACACCAGAATGAGATGGAAATCAGTATGTAAAATTTATCTCCCATTTTTGCTCTTGCCTTTCAAAATTGTGATTAAAGATTTTTAAAAGACATCCCTACAATAAAAAAAGAATTTTGCTTCATTTTCCAATTTAGTTGAATGTTATTGACAATTATGTCAATTGTATAATGAAATATGCCATACGTAAACTTCACTGCACATTTTAAGATGCTAGGCATTATGACATAGTTATTCAATCTTTTCTAAAATGCAATTTAATACAAATAATTTTACAATAATAAAAATAGACTCAAAATAATTTTGTCTATTGGTAGCACAGCCCTTGCCTTTCTCCCTTCCCCAAATAAAGATGAGATTAAAATATAATAGTTCAGGAAGGTAGACCATCCCCACTCCATTAAGAGTTGGAGTTTAATTTCAGCTGAAATGAGATGCCTATCCAATAGAATTTCAGCAGGGTGATTTTGAGGCAAAAAAAAGGATGAAAATAAAAGTAGGAATGGGAGTGTGTTTGCAATTCTGCTGATTTCCATCCTACTATTCTCATCTCCCACCTCTAAAATAACAATAAATGAATAAAAACTAAAATGAAACTGTCCATTTTGTAATGTCACCAAATCAACGGATGGCTTTTTGTAACCTACTGAAGAGTCAGAAATCTGAGAAGACAGGGCTGAGAACAGCTTAGTGGCTCACCATCCCACTCCATATACTGTCACTCAAATTCTAGCCTTTTCTTCCCCTCTTACCAGACTCTGCAGTAGTTTTGGGTTTATCAGTGTCCTTAACTTCCATATTATCTGGCAACTCTTGCATCTCATCATCTCCAAAGCCAGTATCGGGACTATTTGTTGGCTTGTCTTCATCGTTGCTTGATAGCGATGCTTCACGTTTACTAATCTCCAGGACAGCTGCTAGAAGTTCATCTTCAGTCATTGTTTCGAGCCCACTATTCTCTGGGGGTTTGGGATTTTCTGTTTTACTTTTCTTTGAGCTCTGCAAATAAATAAAGGCAAGACTCACTGGGATTCATTCTCTTTCAGGATACTACACCAATAACCACAGTAAAATGAACGTATGTAAAATATAAAAAAAGAAATACATTCTGAACATACAATCATAATTCAACATTGCTTTGATATACAGAATTGTTCTGACATCACTAGAGAAAAGTCTGACTTTGAGTGAAGATACGCTGTATTAAATAAATAAATAAATAATCAAACAAACAAACAAACAATTTCAGCCTTGCTCCTCTTAAGAATTTGGTCATATCATCTGCAGCCACTCTTAAAAGATAAATACAGTCCTCTATGAATGATTTATGTTCCAGACAGTGTCCGTAGGTGTGATTTGTTTGCAAGTCCAGCAAAAACAAAAAGTGCAGTGCAGTGCGGTTCTTGCCTTGCACTGGTAGCATGCCAGTGGGCTTTGGGTGGTGGCAGGATAGGGTTGGTTTCTGGCACACTGCTTACATATGCATGGCATGCTGGAAGTTGACCCTTTCTTGCCTTTTCCCACTACTGCAGAGGGTTCACTGAACCATCAGGTTTTGCTGCAAAGCTGTTGCTTTTCTGGAAGGAGAACTATACTGCACCTGGCTGCAACTCCAGCTTACAGGGTTGCTGGGGATCAGGAGAGGATAGGAGGGGATGTCACATATGTATAACAATGCAAGAGAACCTGGCTGTTTCCTGTCTTCTCCTGCCTTCCTAGTGCCGACGGGTTTATTTGTATTGACAAAACCTCGCAACTCAAAAGTTTGTTACTAATGTTGCATCTAATTGCCCCCAAAAGTTATGTGATCACCATACATTCTTCTTCTACCAGCTGTTTTCTTACTTTCTCAAGCTCCTCTTGCTGTTGTTCCCTGCTCTGGAAATCACACTGTTTCTGACTGTTTGCAACAGGACGTTTTAGTGGTTCTTCTTCACTGTCTGAATCCAAAGAATTTAAAATATGACCTTTATTTTTGAATGAGTATTTTCTGAAAAAGAAACAAAAAAAATTAATTCACCCTTTCAAAAAAGCCTTCTAATGATGCTGATTAATATCAGCTTACAAAAACATTCATAGAAAACCTAGGCAGATGGCAAACTATAATTCCAAGAATATAGTATAAAGATTTATTCAAAAACTAATCCTCTGCAAAATCTATTTGAAACACTCGCTCAATCTAACATTTAGAAATTCTTTACATCACGAACATTAATATTCCTGGGTTTCTTGAGCAGAAAAAGTGAATTGGGATAAATTTGGAGTCAAACTTTCTTGTTTTACAAAAGTGACATTTTATAATAGCCCAGTATATATGAACTGGAGCATATATATATTATATTACTACTTAAGTATATTAAGTAGAATGTTTCATGCAAAACTTCATTTCATAGTAGAATTTGTAATGCTCTCATTAAATATTTAATATATTTTAAAATATTAATCTTGTATTCACTGTATTTTTCTCAGTTCTGGTAAAGGAAAACAAACATGTTCCCATAAAGCTACCATGTGATCTATCCAGAGTAATTAGTGCCTTAACAATACATTAGTAAAGGCGTTACTGAATCAGAATACAGGCAGTCCTCCCTTAATGACCTCATTTAATTCAGCAACCAACCAAGTTACAAAACTTGATATTAACAATATAAAATAATGCACCAAATTTTCTAAAATAGAGGGCAAATATTTAGTGCAAAATCAATTTCTACAGGCTTAAGCATTTTGGTCTTCTTTTCAGATACTTCAAAATCATACTACTCACCGACAAGGTGTAGAAGTCATTACAGAGCAGGAATTCGCCATTTGGGACACTTTTAATGGCCGAGAACTGATTTAAAAGAAAAGTAGTATTTATTTTGGAAAATTATTACATACAGCCATTTTAATGCGGATCCAAGTTTATGCTTCAGTTTTAAGAAACTATGGCAAGCAGTCTTTGGATTAACTGTCCCAGCTGGCACAAAATTTATGGAAACCTTTTAAATCTGAGTTCTCTACAATGTTGTTTTATAGATCAGCATCACAACATCTCACTTTTTCCCAACAGTCACCACTTAATTTAATAATTTAGAAAAATCTAGATTCTCTAGACTTTTGTCCATTATTTCAGGGCTGATATTTGAATGTATATTGTATCAATTGTATCCAAAGACTGTTAAACAAATATCAATTAAAATTTCACTGTAACAAAAATAAACCAATCTATAAATACTATTACTAGAATAAGTGGAAGAACTCACATGGCTGATTGTGCACTCCATCCAAGATTAAGTGGGGGCCTTGTGCTTTCTGTACAGTGTGACTGCAGGGTCAAAAATCTTGGAATAACCACTTGCTGACCTACTTTGTGATTGAGGGAGAGCACCACATTGAAACTGTACCGTTTCAGATGAAGTATTAAAACCCTTTAAGAGACAAGGAGGAATGGAAAAATATAGATTGTTTGCTATGTAGAAACAACTATTCTCTTTAGTAATACGCAAAAACTCTCCCTGCTGTCAGTTCCTTATAAAATTATGTACTCTTAACTTATAAATGCTGGAGATGTTCAAAATTTAAATTTATGTAATTCAGTTATTCTAGGACTGATACCAAGCAGTTGTTTTTGCCCTAAATATTTTTATCTCATAGATTGTAAAAGTTGCCAGTATTTTGGTATAACTTTTGTACCAAGTTTATATACCTACCTGGGAAATCGACTGAATTTGTGTGTAACAAGAGCAGATTTTCCACTACACTTCTCACAGGAGTATTCGATTTCTTCTGCCTAAGAGATACAATACGTGCAAGGTTTGTAATCTGATAAAAACAAATTCTTTAAAATAAACAATTGCATTTATTTACACCTATTCAATCTTTTATTACAATTATACCAAATATCCATGAAAAAATACAGAGAACAAGAATTGTAAAAGAACCAGAAACTCTGACTAATTTGTTTTTGAGATTAATCCAGGTAAATTGGCCCAAAAGTTACATAACAATTCCTACAGAGAATTAATACCTTCAGGATTTTTTTTTACAAATACAATACAAAAGATTCTAACCACCACCCCATTCCCAAAAAAGCCCATGGAGAAACTTGAAACAAGCTCATGTAACACTACTCTAACATATTTCCACAAGATCACTCTTCAACATATAATTGATTTGCATTCAATTTGCAATTTTAAAAAATGTACAGTACAAATAATATTCAGAAAACATTTACAAAAATAAGTAAAAATCAATATATAACAACATATGGAAGAATATATATTGCATACCCGGAAAAAGAGGTCCAAAGAATCTTGGATTGATCGAGACGGAAGCAGCTTTTTCCTTCGTGGCAAGTCAATGGAAAGATCATTAAATTGTTCCCGCTTGATGACAGTTTCACCACACCTGCAGGGAAAAGTTTTACCTCATTTAGTTTGCCACATTTTTAATGCCATACACAGATAATTATTGAGTCTGTCATCTGCACCTCTATAACTGTCTAGTTTGATTCTGCAACCCAACAAGACAGACACAGACTTCAGAGAGTAATCAGAACTGCAGAAAAAACAGTTACTACCAACCTACCTCGTACACTGCATGAGTCAAAAAGAGGGCCGTGAAAATATTTACAGATCCCTCGCATCCTGGACATAAATTGTTTCAACTCCTACCCTCAAAACAACACTATAGAGCACTGCACACCAGAATAACTAGACACAAGGACAGTTTTTCTCTGAACGCCATCACTCTAAACAAATAATTCCCTCACCACTGTCAAACTATTCACTAAGGCTGCTTTACTATTACTATTACTATTAATCTTCTCATTATTCCTATCACCCATCTTCTCCCACTTATGACTGCAGGACTGCAAGTTTGTTGTTTATATCCTTACGAGTTATACTGATATTGTTTCCTGATTGCTTTTTTGCACCCTATAACTATCATTATGTGTTGTATCTTATGATTCTTGACGAATGTACCTTGTCTTTTTACCAAAGACAAATTCCTCGTGTGTCCAATCACACTTGGCCAATAAAGAATTCTATTCTATTCCATTCTATAACATTTTAGCACAAATTAGAATGTAACAGCTTTTAATCCAGCTGGGTCATTTTTCTTTGACATTTATCTCTTCTCAGAATACTTTTCCAGATGCTCTGGAAGTTCTCATAACTTTCTGTAACAGATTCGTGGGGATGGGATATGTAGGCTAAAAAAAGAACAGCCAAAATTGTTCCCATACTTCTTTATTGTGAGAGCATTTGCTGAATGAAAAGCTGTGCGATAAGAGGAATTGGCACTATTGGATTCCTCACAAGAGTTCAAGTGCTCTTAAATAAGTAGTATACAATATTAAAATACTGACTGTGGCTCTTTCCCTAAACAACTGCAATCTCTGTGTTGGCATCTGTTTTCTCCCAGCTGTTTCTGAGTTACAAATCTCAAGATGTCATTAATTGCAATCTGAGATTCAACGCCGTTAGAAATACTTGATGAATTAAAATATGCCCACTTTTCACTATTTTCAACATCTTTGAGAAAATATGTAGGGCCCCTTACATATTCAACTAAAGCAGGAATTTGAATAGGGTGTTTATCTGTATATTTTTTTTCCAAGTTATGCCAGGAGTGCCCAGTGAATGATGCTTAGTTACATTAGAATCATCCACTACTTAAATTGCTTGAGAAGCCAGGGCTTGTGTATATTAACATCAAACTCAATGAGAATGATATGAGGAAAGGGAAGCAACAAGAATGTGAAAAAAATAATATCTTTAAAGACTTACATTTTACATATGATTGAATGCTGAACTTCAAATTCTAGATTTGCAATTACTGGACATGTATAAACTTTAGTGGCTGAAAAGTCATCTGATATGCGCCCGGACAAGTTGTCTTCACTAGAAATAGGCTCACTTTTCCAAGTTTTGTTCAGCTTTTCCATGTCCTCCTTCAACTGATCCAAACACTGGCTTAAGAATTCATGAGCATCCTAAAATCATCAATATGTTTCTTTAAAGTGCTACAAAAACACTACAATTTTATAATCATACTTCAGTTTCCTTTGCTTTAAAAAGTTGTGAAATCATAATTCGAGGATTGGTTACAAAGTTACTTTTTCATCTGTGTGATTACAACATTTGCTTATCAAGGCAGCTGCTAAATGAGAATTACCTCTAATTCAACTAAAATGGCAACATTGTGATTCATTGTAAAGAACCATTATAATGGTGAAAATTAATTTTTTTATGAATCCCTTGTACTTATTCATGTTCTATAGTCATATTATTTCCTTTAAATTATATGCTTACATTTTTCTTCTTTAAATGGCAAAATACTGTCCAAGATACAAAAAGTAAAGTTCAAGAAATAATTTCTAGACAGTGTACTAGATCTAACCCTAACCCTAACCCACACTCTTTCCATTATCTGCTGCATTTTAATTATTCCATCTTAATTTAGCAACAACTAGTTTCCTAGATGGCCTAGAACAATTCTAAGCTTTTCTCAGTCACACTTTTGTTAAATTTGGCTAAATGCAAATAAATAACTCATTAATTTAAAAAAAAAACTGTGAACTTTCCTTGTGAATTGAACAGACAATGCAATCAGTTAGGTTCTGATATGCAGAGAGAAATGCCTCAAAATGCCTCCTCAATTATAACTGGGTGTGTTGGTGTGCAATATCAATGCTATTTTAAGACCTACAGACAGAATTTTTTCCCTTTTAAAATTTTTATGCAAGGGACAGTATAACAGACAATGAATGGTATATTCTCCACAAATACAACTATATTGTATCTTTTTTTCAAAGATTGTCAGAGTACTAGTCTGTTGCCAGAGCAGAGGGCATGGTTTGAAACTTTAATTCAGTGCAAAGGCAACACAGTTGAGGAAAAGATGGAAAATGAAAATGCACTATTCTCCTTTACTGAACAATATTTCAAGAAATGACAATCAGCTATCAATCAGCCTTATGTTCACTCAAGTGATAATTGTAGATGTAATCTATTTAGGTAAAAACAATCATTTGTCAAAAATGCTCCTATTTTGAAATTTCCCTTCGTCTCCAATGCTGCATCTGTTCAATATCTCCCAATTGTCTAATCCAGTTTTTTCAACCACTGTGCCGTGGCACACTAGTGTGCCGTGACATAGTGTAAGGTGTGCCGTGGGAAAAACACTTTATATATAGTCAATATAGGCACAGAGTTAAAAATTTTTAACATTTTCTAATGGTGGTGTGCCTCGTGATTTTTTTCATGAAAAAAGTGTGCCTTTGCACAAAAAAGGTTGAAAAACACTGGTCTAATCTAAGGTCATTATGGAGGCCTATTACTCAAGCTGTGCCAAAATTTTATATCAGGGATACCTTATATCAGGGATCCCCAACCCCGGTCCATGGATCAGCACTGGGTCATGGTCATTTCATTTCATTTATTGAATTTATAGGCCGCCCAATCCCGAAGGACTCCGGGCGGCTTACAAAAATGAAAAAAATATTTAAAAAGGATTAAAACAATAAGATACAACAAGGTTAAGAAGAAGCACAACATGCACCCAATCAAAGGGGGGGGGACCTCAACCAAGAGGTCAACAGCCCCAGGCCTGCCGGGAAAGCCAGGTTTTAATAGCTTTACGGAAGGCCATGAGAGTGGGTAAGGTCCGGATCTCTGGGGGTAGCTCGTTCCATAGGGCAGTGGTCCCCAACCTTTTTATCGCCGCGGATCAGTCAGCCTTTGATAATTTTACCGTGGCCCGCTGAGCGCGCGCAGGGGTGGGGGGCGTTGTTCGCGACGACACATTGATTGTTTATATATCAGATTGTTTTGATTAAACTTCCCTGGAGCCTTTGCGCACGGCCCAGGAGCTTTTGCGCACGGCCCAGGAGCCTTTGCGCTGCAGCGATCATGGCCCCCGGCCGCTGCAGCGATCATGGCCCCCGGTCGCTGCGCGGCCCGGTGCCAGGTACTCCACGGCCCGGCACCGGTCCGCGGACCGGGGGTTGGGGACCACTGCCATAGGGTATTCCCTGGTATGCCAGCAATGGAGCTATGCAAACAAGCAAAGCCCTATCCTCAAGATGCAAGCAGCATATAAAACCATGCCCCCTCCAGTCTGTAGAAAAATATCTCTCCACTGGCCCAAAAGGTTGGAGGGGATGATGCTGCCTTATATGAACATCAGCTATAATAAATGTTAGCCACAGTTCTATTTTGGAGGAAAAGCTGCAGGTATACAGTGAAGACCAAGATTCCATAGAGGAGAGATAGTTAATAGTTTACCACTTAACAGCTAAAAACCATGTTTGTTCAGACATTCTGAGATAGATTTTTAAACTCGTGGGACATTTCTTTACAAACTCAACATAGCAGCAGTAAGGTCAGCACAACTGAGCATGAAATAACTCAGTTTATACATCAATAGGGTTCAGGCTATCTAAACAAGCAATAGTTTTCAACATTATAATGGTTACCTGTATTTTTTGGAGTATAAGACGCACCAAAGTTTTGAAGAGGTAATTTTTTTTTAAAAAGTAGGTAGGTAGATAGAGGGATAGAGAGAGAGAGAAATACAGTAGGTAGGTAGGTAGGGAGAGAGAGAGAGAGTAGTTAGGTAGGTAGATAAAGGGATAGAGAGAGAGAGAAATAGAGATAGAGAAATACAGTAGGTAGGTAGGGAGAGAGAGTGTAGTAGGTAGAGGGATAGAGAGAGAGAGAAACAGAGAGAGAGAGAGAGAGAGAGAGAGAGAGAGAAATACAGGAGATAGGTAGGGAGAGAGAGTAGAGGTAGGTAGGTAGAGGGATAGAGAGAGAGAAATAGAGAGAGAGAAATACAGTAGATAGGTAGGTGTTTCTGCTGGCACAGCATTTGATCAATATAATTCTTATCAATCAGTTAAAGAGCTTCCCAAAAAGGGGGGGAATTTTTGCACTCTGCAAACCTCCGCAAAACAGCCTGTTTTTCATGAAAACGGGCCCGTTTTTTTTTTTAAAGGCATGAATAGCCTGGGGGGGGGCCTTGCACAGTGGGAGCTGGGGGGGCAAAAAACAACCCACATTTTGCTCATTTCTGCCCTTCCCAGCCCTCGGGAGCTCTCTAAAAGCCTCCATAAGGTCATTTTGTTGAAGAGGGCGGGGCTTTGGGAGGCAAAAATGCTGTATTCGATGTATAAGATGCACCCAGATTTTCAACTTCTTTTTTGAGGAAAAAAGGTGCGTCTTATACTCTGAAAAATACGATAATTGATACAGAATCTGTACCCCATGGAACCTTCATTTGCATAACCATCCACTCTTCTCCTCCTTACTCCCTCCCTGTATTTAAATCCTAGATCAGTGAAGTTACTCACACATCAGTTGAAGCTCCTGAAAGTTGATGTTGGGTGATAAAATGCTTAAAAGATGTTGGGTGATAAAATGCTTCTTAAAAGCTACTATCAGACTTCAATATTGAGTTACATAGATTAACACAGCTCTCTCTAGCACTGATTATGTTACCTAGTTTGGGTAATGAAACCTCTGCAAGAAAACAACCAAGCTCAGAGAGTACCAAGGATCTCTTCATATCAACCCTGAACTACAAATATTCTCCTTTATTGGCACAGCTCTTTTCCTACAAGGTTTATAGTAGGGAAAGTCTAATAATTTTCTCTGAAATTTATTTTGATAAGTGTCTTAACTGTTTTGAGTTTTATACTCTATGCAGTGTTAAGTGTAATACACTTGGCTGAAAAAAAGGTTAATAAGACAATCAACTAATTGGTCACATTTATAACAGATAATATGGGTAATTATTTTAATTTCATAGCTACGAGTGAGCTTTCCAAGAAATATTTACATCAAAAATCAAACCCTAAGGGCATTTAACATCTGAATTTTTTTCTGTCTCTTTTCCCAAATAAGATTATTTTGGCTTGGGGTACTTATATGAAACGGTTTTTATATATACTATGTAACAAATGACATGACTTATAAAGTAGCTCAAACTACTGAAAACAGTTACTTCAGTGTATGATACTTACATTTTGCATATAGCCAGAGAATCTCTCTGCTGTAGCTGAAATTGAATTTTTCACCTTTTTGAGTAGTTCTTTCTTTACTTCAGGGCTACATGAATCTTTTTTAGCAAGTAAATTGGTAAATCGTCTAGAAAAAATACATGATAGTGTTTTGACATTAAAAAGCATGTTGGGGTTACCAGACATCTGGCAATTTTGTCCTCATGTCCTCTGTCTGATTGGCAGTGCCTTAAAATCAAATATTGTGGCTTTTGAAGTTATATACAAGCTGTCTGTTCCTGAGCACTTTTCTCCCACATTCCTTAATGAATGCTAGCCACAAGTTAACAAGCTTAGCGTTGTGACTTTAATTAGTTGATTAGTACCCTCTGGCTAGGTTCTACTATCAACTGAAATTGACAGGATCTTAATTAGCTACACACTGAAAGCTTTTGCCGCCTAACCCATACTTTGTCACATTCTTCTGTTAAAAAGCCAGTCTTTCTGATACTGGAAAAAATAATTTCATGTAGGCCTAAGAACTTCCATTTCTACTCTAATTTTTGACATGAATACCAATAAAGTTAATATCCTCTTTCATTCCTCTTTGTCCTCCTTTCTAAATGATCATGTCCTCCTTTGCCAATTAACGTATCTAGTAACCCTAAGCAATATTTAATTATAAAAATATCCTCCAAAATGCCACTACCTTTGCTTCCTATCTTCCCCCCAAAATGTGATCTCACCAATGAAGGATGCAAACATGCTGAAAAGCAAGTAATTTTTGCTCCCCATTATTTTGCCAATATTCAAAAAGCTAATTATGGAAGATGCAATATGTTTAATAGTATGATAGAACTATAACATGGAAATATATGGGAGACTGAAAACGAGTAATACACCAACAAAAGCTCAAAATTCTGTTCTTGATTGATACTATCCTTAAGATCCCAAGAATTGCCATTATAGGTTTTCAATGTTTAGTTTAAAACAATGAAAAATCAGCAGGGATTTCATAACAAAGCAAACTGATTTCAGGGAATCTAACATTTCCCTTTTGCAGCATTAATAAAAATGTTTTAAAAATTGAAATCGGAACATCTCTTTTCAAGAAATTTGACAATACTAAATGATAAATATTCTTGCATTCTCATTTCATTTTGAATCTCTATTTTACTTCTGGAGCTGGATTATATACAAAAGAAATACATTTCTATTTACTTTTACAATTGTCAAATTATATTTCTAGGAAGGATAATGTACATTTATACATTTTAATAAATTGCATAAATCATTTGAATGCTTGAGATGATATTCATCAAAAACCATTTATTCACCAAGCTGATGCTTACCTGATCAATGCATTCAATGGAACTTTTTTCCATGGGATACTTTGCTTCAAAAGATCATTAGCAAATGATTGAATTGAAAATAAAGACTGTAAAATAGCATTCATGTAACAAGTGTTTCCTAAATTTGTAAATCTGTGAAGAACAAGACATTATGATCAGATTAAAATACTGGCAGCATAAATACAATTTGCTACGCAGATTACATCATTTGAGAAGACATTATAATTCTAACACTGTATCTGTGCATAAGCATTGTCCTCTCCTACTCATTATCTTAAGAAACTATAATGTTATGCTTTAAACATAACAAGGAGAAAAGCAAAAAGCACTTCCTGAAAATAAAGTGCTATAGAAAGGATAAAAAAAATTACTGATTGCAGGAAATGCTGAGAAACCTGAAGTGAGTTTCTATTTCCTCAATAGTCAACTTAGCACATGTATACATAAAAAGAGATGCTGAAGATATAACAACCAACCCTTGTAACTGCTGCTGTGGATGAGTAGTAAGAGGAACTCGAGGCTTGTTCCATCCTGTGTAATCCTGATTAGATCTCAGTCTTTTGACAGAAAGAGGGGCTGGCTGAGACAGAAAACCTAAGCTTCTTTTGGCTGAAGGATTCAATACATTAGATCTATAAAATAAGAGGGATAAAACCCATTTCAAAGATGACAAAACTTATTACTACAATTATGGTTGATTGTGCAGTTAGATAAGCAAAGATGACACCTTCTTAGAGAAATATCAAAGCATTAAAAGAATATTGTACTTACCTTAAAGGTAAATTATTTTATTTTCATCCACATAATTTAATTATAAAGGGGCCATCTTCAAATGTTAAGAATAAAATGAGGGAAGCATATAAAGGTTTTTTTTAAATCTAATAATTCTCGGCTGGGGGGGTGACACCGTTTGTGCAGCAACTGCCAAGTTCTCTGTTAGGTGCATCTGTATCTCTGGATGGGACCATATTCTTCCTGAATGAACAGGTCTATGACTTGGGAGTCCTACACTCCAGCTACTGTTAAACGCATAGGTAGAGGCCCGGGCGTTTGTCTAGCTTCTGCCTTACCTGAAGCAAAAGAATATGGTGACAATGTTTTATAACCGATCACCACTTGTGGGTACTACTGCACTAAGCTGTATATGGCACTGCTTTTGAACATCACCTGGAAGATGCAATTGGTACAAAATGAAACTGTCCCTGCTGGGGAGCAGAGGTAAGAATTGCCTGAGACAAGTGACACTGATGTTGCAAATGGTGCATCTGTTATCAATAGGTTTCCAAATTTAATTCAATATGCTGGTTTTCATCTTTAAAGCTCTACATGACTTGGCACCCAAATTCCTTTGAGACATTCTTCTGATATGACTTACTTATCCTCTATGCTCATTTCAGGTGGGGAAGCTGAGTATACAACACAGCAATAACTGGTTAAATGGTCCTGGCAGGTCTAAATATCCATAAAGCTTTCCTCAAATTGCCCTCGATTTCTGGTGTCTATCTAAAGCTAACCACGTTGTTTTGACAGACCCAATATAGAAAAGATATGGTATTGTGTTTTCCAGGGACTACTTAGCTTCTTGCTGGCACTTGCTGAGACTGCATATCTGTAGCTAGTCTTTTATACAATACTTGGAATGGCTTCTAGTGTCCTCACTTAATTAAATCAGCTCACTTCTTGGCACAAGGAAATGAAAAATATTCACTTTGGCATGGCTATCTTAATAAGCAGTAATATAAGTTGATTTCACAGAAAATATGGATTCTTTGATAAATACAGCATTCTTATGATAAAGCATTTTAAAGGAGAATAGCTATTTTTGGTACTTACCTGTCCAAATTAGAATTATTAGCTGAATAATCCTTTGTGGAAGATCTGCTACCATAAAATGAAGATGACTGTAAAGGCAAAACCCCTGGAAAGGAGACAGATACAACTTTTTGTAAAAACTGTCTTAAAGGCCAACAATATCACACACACAACTATTCAGTAATTTAAATGAGATTCAGAATCAGAATATATCAAGTTCTATCAGAAGCCTGATGTGTATCTTGAAATTCTGAATCGAGTGCATTTGCTAAGCAGAGACAGTTCTCAACAAAACTGAAATACTGGAAATATATTTTGCAAACACCTCATTTGTCAAAATTCTATTTCCTGGCCAGTAGTATCACTTTTAATCCCTGTTTCCTTCTACTAATTATCATGTTACATTTCAGCTTTATTAGAATTTATCATCTGGTCATTTATTTCCAGCAGAAGAATCATATCAATACAATCATATTGATCATATTCTCAGAGATAAGAAATGTGTTAAGTATTTTACCTGCAACATTTTTAAAACCTAAGGCAGAACATTTATATCATACGTATATTTTTTCAAACTCGGTTCATGGAATCCTAGAGTTCTGCAAGCACTTGATGGGATTTCATGAGAAACTAGGGGGAAAGGCTCAGTTGAGCAGAGCCAATTTTTAATTGACAGAACTTTGCCTCAGAATCAGGGATTCTGGAAACATTTTTTTTAAAAGTAACAGGTTATGTGGCCTGAATTTTTTTTGAAAATCCCTGTGTTAGAGTAGACCTGGGGACATTTTCCTGATTTGGAAGCTGAAGTCAAATAGCAAAGAGATGGTCTCTTCAACTTGCATCATTTATTAAGCACTAATTCTGTGACTTCATTTTCTATAAAATGGCTGATTTATCTTGATTTTCAATGAAAGTATTATATAGCATGAAAAACCATTACAACTGAAACCTCCTAAATTTCTATTTTAATACAGGATCCCTAATTCAGGACGAAGATAGGAAACTTTACTGTGTACTAAGACCATTTCTTATTAAAATTGAGAAGCAAAAATAATTTGCCATTGATATGAATCAATGTGCTCTGTTGTTGTTAAAATTATTATAATTTATATGCCATCTGAGTCCCAGTGACCCTAGGTGCTTCTACAGGAAAAAGTACCTTGGATCTTTATATTTTGAATTACCATATTTTTCGGAGTATAAGATGTACTTTTTTCCCTCAAAAAAGAGGGTGAAAATCTGGGTGTGTCTTATACACTGAATACAACATTTTTGGCCTCCTGAAACCCCGACCCTTTTTCAAAAATGGCCATGTACAGCTTTGAGGAGGCTTGTAGAGTGCTCCTAGGGGCTGGGGAGGGAAAAAATGAGCGAAAAATGGGCTGGTTTTTTGCTCGTTCCCCCCCCCCCCTCCATAACCTCCTAAAGGCTATGCATGCCCTTTTTTGACGAAAAATGGGCCGTTTTTGGGAGGTCTGCAGAGTGCAAAAACTTTTAATTTGCCTCTGCAAAATCTTGGTGCGTCTTATACTCCAAAAATATGGTAATAAATATAGTTCATTTTAATTTCTGCCAGTTTTATAATTAGCAAACCAAATCCAAAACAATTCTATGTTTTAAAATTAATTCTTAGAAAACCAATAAGCACTGTCAAAAACAGTGTCATTTCTTTACCTGATATCCTATTTTCCTCAGCCTGTTTCAAATGCATCTGCTTGTCTCTGCAGCTGTGTAAAAATTTCCTTGATGGATCAGTCATGGCTTTGTTATTGCTATAGATAAATACATGTGATCTTAATTGCATTATTTGTAAAACACTATGCTATTTCAGCTTAATATACTAATTCTTCAGTTTAAATTTATCTGCATTCACAAATGATTCTTTAAAATTTAATAGAAAAATACACCCAAACACTACTTGAATATAAATCTGTCTCTTTCAAACATTTAATTTAGTTAGCATAGAATGGAAAAGCTCAGCATTTTTATCTGACCCCTTTCATCTCTTTCATAGACGGACTCCAGGTTGTGTACACATATGAAAACATAAAACTATATATAACATGTAAAAATAAGCAAAGATGTTAATGTTAAAGTTCAACATTAAAGTTAATTAAAAGACAGGCTAGGGCCTTCAGGGTGCTAACCAGCCCTACACTTCCATGCTCCTCTGTGAGCCCCAAGCAAAATATCAGAGCTTTAACTAGCACATTGAAGTACACAGAAAATGTACATGCACCCGTGCACGCCCCACCATCCATAGCTAAAATACCTAATAGTGAAAGTAGAGAGAGAAAAAGAAAGATTTTAATCAAAATAAAAATAAAAAACACACCTTGATGAATCATTTTCTTTAGGATAATCTTCATTCATCTCAACCGCAGGGGATGTCTTTTTCCTCCTTTCACTATTTCATAAAGGACAAATAAACATTTGTTCATCCACAAGTAAAAAACCCCATCCACTTCATGGTCATCAAATTACATGTACCTGAACAGCTATTTATTAATACACCTTTACAACCTATTCCTATCATGAATATTGAAGTCGTGTTGCCTTCAAAGTTTTCATACCGATTTTCTAATAATCCATTTCTGTGAGGTGTGGAAGTAGCAGTAGCTGAAATATTAACTCTGCTGTAAGACATTCCAGTTACTGGAGAATTCTTAATTGATGCTCTTCCTGGGCTGACCAATACTTTACGAAATGGAGCTTCATCTTTATTTTCTGCAATCACTCTTCTAGGAGTCTAAAAATAAGCCAAAGAGAAAATGATAAATTCAGCTGAAGCATACTAATAGTGTGCACAATACTTTGAAATGAACTATTTCAAATCTGAGATGTCCATTTTTTTATCTCATAGTTTTAAAAAATTAACAAAAATATTTCAAGATGAGTGAAGCAGAACTTTCTGAAAATTAAACATTTGATCATTCAAAATTGAAATGGTTTCCATACTCCTACAACATGCAATGTTAATCACAACTCATATCAGAAAGGAAAAATCAGGATTAGTGGAAGTCATCACCCAATAAATAATAGAGATTAATTTGCATGAATCAGGGGTTTGTTACACTTTGCTTAACATTTATCTCACATTTTCATCTGAACCCAGTGAAAAAAGTTGCTTAGGACTATAAGAAATAAAAAGCCTTGATTAATGTAGCTCTCTGTAATTTAAAGAGAGGCTCAGCTCTTTCCTACTAGCTAAAGCAATAAGACTATTAACATGTCATCATGCCCAGAAAAACACCTTTCTGTTAAGTTCAATACAAGCAGTAGCACCTAGAAAGTTAAAAAGAATTTGATTTGCTAGTAGTTGACCACTATAAATCCAAGAGCTAGACTAGACTAGGAAATTTTAAAAGCACACCATAGGAAAGTAATGAAAATTCACTTTCATGCTGCGGCTAAGAAAACAATATTGACACATAGTCACCACGAGTAATAAATATTTTTACCCTCCTAATAAATATGCTGAGACTTTTGAATTGACCAATACCAGACCCTGAGGTGGTCTGTCTGTCTCTCTCCCCCCCGCCCATACAATTCCCATAACCTTTAACCAAGCGAAACGGCACATCATAGGCCAATAATATTTCAAAGAAGGTACTTCAACTTACAGAATGTGTCCAAAATCTAGGAATTACAATTTCTCTGGAACTGAAATGTAACAAACTTTATTTTAAAAAAATGTTGTGCTGGTGTTTATGCTATGCAATTCAACTGGCTATTTTTCAAGGCAGATACATCTCGGAATGTATCACAACTTTTTTTTAGTGAAATCAGTGTATGAAAAGTTCTGTCAACATTGGGCACTGAGGAATCTGGTAAGGAAATATGCTATATGGAACCCTGACAATATGTTTGAAAGAATGACCCAATGGGTCATGGGCAGAGGTGGGCTACACTTACGTTCACAAGCGGTTCGCTAGTTGTGAGCTCGCACGCACCCCTTTGGGAGTGAAATGGAGCTTCAAAGAAGCAGGTAGTTGACTCAGGCAGCTCCAGTGAGTAAAGCACGGGTTGCATGAAACTCAGCTGGGCAGCAAGGGCAGGGGAAACGAGCCAGAAAGTTAGTTATAAATGGATAGCTTAGCACAAGAGCGGGTGGGCAGGTCCAGCCAGCAATCAAAGCTAAGGGTTCAACCAAACCTGCATGACCACGCAGCAGCCCACCACTGGTCATGGGTTGTCTAGTATACTACTAAAATACTCCTGTTTGTCTTGTGTCAACTTTCCCTTTTATAATGCTGGCTCTTTGTTGATTCACCTGATTTGATTCTAGTGATTGAGTTCATTCAATTCACTGTGATCCTACAGAGTGTTAGTTTTGCCATATTATAACTGTCCATTCCCTATTTCCTGATTTGAAATCTTTGTTTCTGACCTTGATCTATTTGTCTACCTCACTAGACAATGATCTTCCCTCTCAGTAATGCATCTGCTATGTCCAATCATTTTAATGATCCTGAAATCAATGATTTTTATGGACAAACCAGAAAGTCACCCCTATGAACAACTGTACTAAAACTTTAGGAAAACTATTACAACTAGTTACAGTAGTTTTGACTTCAATTTAGCCTCCCCATCACTATTAATAAACTTGCTGTGTAAGAAAACCTATTTGGCTGTTTCTAGCTAATACTGCTCTGGAATATGCCAACAAGATAGCTGTGGCATTTTGCTCTAACTTAAAACTTGGTGTGTATGCAATTCTATTTTGAAATTATCAAGAAAATAATGACAACAGAATAGGTCAGCTGTTCTGTTCCAAACAATGTTGTGCTGATATTCTTAAGTCTATAAATTCTACTCTCACCATTTTCATTAGAAACATTCCCAATAAATTTACCCATCCAACTGAATTATTTCCTAAGAATTTCTTATTTTCCACTTTTAGTAAACACTACTTCCTTTTTTCTCCATTTTCTCTCTCTTTAGTTGAAAATATTTAAGTCACGACTTTCATTACTGCACCTGTCATATTCAAGCTACAGTAATTAAACTGGAATCAAGAGTTTATCTACAAGACTTGAGTCACTGGAAAGCTTGTTGTAGAACTGAATGCTTCCTGTAAGGCCATTTAAGTGCATGGCTAAATAGAACTGCATAATGTTAGAAGCCCCTTCTGAATATTATATGTGCATAAAAACAAAAACTAAATGTGATTGA